AGGAGACTGTGACTAGGGGAAAGATGCCGGCACTCAGAATCCCTGCTCTGACGTTACTTATTATATTCAGCACAGTTCCCTTTAGGGACTAGAAAACACTGACACAGGATTTGTTATTGTTTTGTTGTCTATTTTTTGTCTTACTGTTTGTTAAATGGGTTTTAAAGCCCGTAGGCTAAACCCCTACTTTCTAGGTCACCCCAGTCTTCCAGTTCTGTGGTCCCCACCTACAGTGTCACCCCAGAACCTCACCTGCCTGCGCCCTGAGCCCTGCAGGCATCTGACTCTGTGCTTGGGTGAAGCCAAGTGTTGCTCTGCTCAGGTCTTACAGGCTGTGGGTGAGGCTCCCAGTCCCTGCTGGGCACCAAGGCCACCCCGGCGGATAACTCATCCTTTGATTTTGTCTTTCAGGAAAGCGGGTTTGCCTTGGAGAACAGTTGGCCAGGACTGAGCTGTTTATTTTCTTCACTTGCCTTATGCAAAAATTTACCTTCAGGCCCCCAGACAATGAGAAGCTGAGCCCCAAGTTCAGAATGGGCGTCACCCTTTCCCCAGTCAAACACCGTCTCTGCGCTGTTCCTCGGGGGTGACCTCATTAGGAAAGGAAAGGAGAAAGTGAGAAGAAATGGACTGTGTTCTGAAGCCACTGCTGATGCCATAGATATGAGGGGCCAAAATGATAATGACCCTGAGGAATTAGACACAGAAGAAACCATATCCAAGTCCTGGCTTTGCTGTCTCCTTTAAATTAACCTTGGAAAAACCACTTAAGTGCTAAACAATTTACCTTTTCATCCAGGAAATGAAAAGAAGATAACGATGCCTTTCCTAACAGAAAGTTCTTGCAAGAATCAAAGGAAACAGAGGACGTTAAGTGAGTTGGAAGCCATAAAGCACAGCATAAATGTGGTGTCTGTAATGTGCCTCCTTCCCGCCTCCTTTGTTACACAGTATTTTTGCCTGTGCCCTTTGAGATAGCACAAGGCAAAATGGTGCAAAATAATCACTAAGGTTATGGGTCCTGGGGGCGGTGCCTGTGGCTCAAAGGGAGTAGGGCTCCACCCCATATGCCGGAGGTGGTGGGTTCAAACAGAGCCCCAGCCAAAAACTGCAAAAATAAATAAATAAATAAATAAGTGGGCCCTGGGAGCAGGGTCAGAGGTGAGCCATAAAAGCTATCTCATTTCGGCTCGGCGCCTATAGCTCGACCGGCTAAGGCGCCAGCCACGTACACCTAAGGTGGCGGGTTCGAATCCCCAGCCCGGACCTGCCAAACAACAATGACGGCTGCAACCAAAAAATAGCTGGGTGTTGTGGCGGGCGCCTGTGGTCCCAGCTACTTGGGAGGCGGAGGCAGGAGACTCGCTTGAGCCCAGGAGTTGGAGGTTGCTGTGAGCTGTGATGCCACGGCACTCTACCCAGGGGGACAGCTTGAGGCTCTGTCTCAAAAAAAAAAAAAAGCTATCTCATTTCCTAAGAGCTGTGCTTGCTTATTTTGTTCCTGCCCCAGAATGGTTCTCTAATAAGTTAGAGGGCAGCAGTATTCCCTATTTACAGACAGGGAAAGCCAGTGTGGCTGAAGCAATCTCCACGGCTTATGTGAGTAAACACTACCTTGGCCTTGGGCCCAGGGCAAAATAGAGTGTGACCCCAATTAACCCACCCGTGGAAAAGGTTTGGGAGACAAACTTGGCAGTATTTTGCATTTGTGAGATTACCTCTTTGCCTTAAATCCTCCATTAGGCATCTATTCTCCTTGTACTTAACTATGTGGTAGGTATGATCTTTTCATTGTAACAAAATTGTAAGCTTTTGCTGGGCCCTGGTAGAGTATTTCATAGCAGGAAATCCGAAATGCCACACACCTGCTCAACCGTTCCGGGCGCGGTTTCTGAGGGAAAACAGCATTCATAAAAGTGCCCGCCAGGTAACCCAGTCCTGGGAGCACTGACCACAATGCCGATGGAGAAAAAAGGTGCTAAACCTTATCAAAACATGTCCTTTGTTCCCTTAAAGCGGTGTGTTAGTCTGTTTGGTGTTGCTATAATGGAATTCCTGAGGCTAGATAATTTATGTGGACAAGTAGTTTATTTCCTCATGGTTCTGGAGGCTGGGAAGTCCAGGGGCAGGGCAGGGTGGCAGTTCCTGGCATGGGCTTTTGTACTGTGTCCTAAGATAGTAGAAAAGTGAAGAGCAGTTCTACCCCTGCAACCCGGAAGTATAGACTCAGACCCTCTTAAGTGCAATTCAATTGGGGATTTATTGAAGCTGCGCAGGGGACTGCTGCTCTGAGACAGACAGTCCGTCTCAGTAGAGGGCAGGTTGCCTTATATAGTTTTTGAGCAAGCATATTACAGAAGCAAGATATGGCTGGTTAGGTAGGGCAGGGGGCTTACAGCTTGGGGGTTACAATCTGGGTAAATTCCCACCATTGTTCACCTGAACTTGGGACTTTTCTGTGTTTCCTTGTTTCGCCTCTGAGGGGGAAGGAGGAGGAGTTCCCAGCATTGACTCTGGGGGGAGAGAGGAGGAGGAAGGTGAGCATTCCCCTAGTCGACTCTGGGGGGAGGGAGGCAGGCTGAAAACCTGCCCAATTTCAGGGCGAGCAAGCCCATGTGAAATAAAGAAAGCGCCATGTGCCAGGCCCACTTTATAACAGCCTGCTCTCTCCATAACTAACCCAGTACTGTGGTAAAGAGTAATCCATTCCTGAGCGCTCCACCCCCCTGACCTTTCACGAGGCCCCACCTCCCAACACTGCAACACTGGGGCCCAAGATTCAAAATAAGCTTTGGAAAGGAGAAACACCTATAGAAACACCTATAGCAAGGTGATTACACTTAAGGAAGTTATAAGCCTAAAACACAACCCACCAGGAAGCCATGGTGCTTATCCTTCCTGTGTCTTAAGAGTCAGAGAAAAACCAATGCAGTTGACACCTGAGAATGGGAAACAGAGAAAAGGATGGTGGGGGTGGGGTGGGGGTTGGCTGGAGCCAGCCTGAGCTGCCAGGGAGAGCCAAGGAAAAATGTGTCTGGAAGAAACACTGGGTTGTTAATGTGAGAGAAGAGGCTTTGGTCCTTCCTGCTCTGTAAAGGAGAGAATAGTAGCGAGAGTCCCACGTGTGTGCACTTTTTGTAACTCACTAGAAAGTTGCATTTCTAGAAAACATGTCAAGTGGTAGTCTGAGAATAAAACTAATCAAATAAGGCCTTGGACTTGAACTTCCCAAACTTCCAAGACCTTGTCTTCCTTTTTGTTTTCTCTAATCAGACCATCCAAATGAGAGACTCAAGTAGAAATTGGACAAAACTCATTCTGTGTCTCAGTGTCTTCATCTGTGAAATGAAGGGCTTTGACGAGTCACCTCTAGATTCATTCCTGCTCTGCTGTGCGTGTCCCATGCTCCTAGATGGGCAGATACACACCTGTTAAGCCCCCTGTGGACTCATCCTGACCTTGGGGATGCAGTGGACCCAGGGCCAAGTAGGATGTGAGCACAATTAACCAGAAACCTTGGGGAATAGAAGACTGTAATTGAATTTATTGGCCATGGAAAATGTCTCTCTCCCTCATCTTTGATTTTTCTCAAAGCCTGTTGGAGAGCTCTAAAATATGAGCCCCTCTCCTGTCCAAGCAGGACATGAAGGTTTTGTTGCACACGCGGCTATAGCTCTCCTATTCCTCCATCTATTTTGAAGACTCTAGGGCCCCTGGCCCCCTCTTTTGTACCAGTGCCTGACACACACTGTGCCATCACCATAGCATCACCTGGGGCTTCGTGGACCAGGTGTGGATTTTACCCAATGGCCATCCAGGCTGTGACTCTCCTCTTCACAACTCTCCCATAAAGAGGCCCAGACACATGCAGGCTGCAGGATAAACATAAATTCGGGTAGCAGGTCAAGTGACTTATGGCACGAGGAGCAGGACACTCACAATATCTTGAATTCTAAGGTCAGTGTGCTTAAGTTGGGCACAGCCTGACTGCAGGCACCAGGAGAGGCCCAGGAAAGGACCCTCACACCGCCCCACATTTCTGTAGACAGGGAGGGGCTGGTTAGGTGACCTTGTGTCAAGGACAATACCCAGGGTTGGTTAGAGCTGGAAAGCCCAGATACCCCGGTGTCAAGCTGTTCTTCCCTTGAGCTTCCTTCCTCCAGCCTGCTGAGCCGGCCTTTTGCTAAGCCACCAAAGGGAAGGAGGGGTTAGTGGTCAGTGCTGAGGGTCATCTGGATTTGTCACTGCTCGACCCCTTATTATGACTTCGTGAACAAGACATTTAAATCTGTAAAGTCTCCACTTTCTTCCTCCAAAACAAAAGTATGAGAGCAGAAATCAAAATCAGAAAACACAGAATCCTGTCTGTGTAACAGATTCACAGCAATGAGATTCAACGGGGTCGGTGCAAGGCTAAGGGGCCCATTTCCATCCCCACCCAAAACACTCTGTGGACTACTTTTCTGCCTCTGAGTAAAAATTTCAGACAGCGTCCTTTGTTTCTAGGTTACTCTGACATAACAAATATTCCTATCCTCACCTTTTTCCTAAGGAGGGTCATTTCGGTCAATACAGTTTGCAGCCCAGTACATGTACAATTTATAGATCTGCACAGGATGACTGCTTGAGCACTCGTCCCCACCCAGTTTTAGAATTGGAGGATTCCAGGGAGGGTGGGCAGGAGTCTGATGGCCTTTTCCCTCTGCGTCCTGTGCTCCCTGACACGTGCTTCTCCACCTCTCGTGCTTCACAACCACCCACCTCTGCCTCCCACCCACCTGACCCGCCAGCTCTGTCCCTGTGCAGCACCCTTCACTGAACACCCCTCTCCCACACCTGGGCATCTGCCAGTTCTGCTCTGCTTCTGGCCATTCTGCACCATTTTGCCCAAGATGCTCTTGTTGGCATCTACTGTGGCCCCAAGCTCGCTTCACAAGGGGTCCACATGCAGCCACACACCTCCCTCCATGGCCACCAGTGTGCCCCCCCCCAAGTCTTACCTGCATGCGTTCCAGGCCTCCATGCATTGATTCTTGGTACCACAGAGAGTCCACAAAGAACAGCTCAATCCCTGGGGGCTTCAAGTCTGGTGAGGGGAAACCAAGTTTCTCCCCCACTTCAGGGGAGATGGTGAGGGAGGACCCTCCTGTCAAAGAAAACTCAGCTGAAAAGTAGGAAAGCAGAATATTCCAGCAAAAATAAGTTTTATTCAGAAACTGTTGCAATGGAGTGAAAAAGACTTCAGCGCAGAACCAGGCTCAATTCCAAAGATGGCAAAGACAAGTTGGAGATTCACAGCCAAAGAGCAGGATGGGGGAACAAGTGGATGAACAATTGCTAAGAGAAAACACCAGGGTTGGTGGGGGGATTCTTGCTGACAGAAGGCCAGAGTGATCAGACACCGAGGCGAAGGGTCAAGAATCTGAGCAGATATCAAGGTTGTCTCTAAACAGACTTAGCGAGCTCGGTGGAATCGCATTGCTTCCCTCGGTGTACACATACGCTAGTCCCGATCAGTGGAAAAACCACACCTTGGGAATTGTTTCTGCCACTTGGAAAGTGTTCCATTCCTGAGCTTCTCCCCTCATGAGATGGAATCTATTTCCAGTCGTCTTCACTCTGGGCTGGCCTGCAGGTGAAATAGCTTTTTTGAGCCTAAGGCCCAAAAGACTCTGTGAGCTTCTGCTTGCTCCTGTGGGACTGTGACCACCATTGACAAACCCACATCACTCTGATGACGAGAAACCGTGGCTCAGTCACTGCTGTCACATCGCCCCATCTGACAGCTCACCAGCCACCAGCACTGTGCGTAAGGACATCCAAGATGCACCGGATCTAGGAACATCCAGACAGTGAACGCGCATGTGTGAGGGAGCTGGCTGAGCTGGGGCCGTCCACATGAGCCTGCCTCAATTTCCAGTATGAGATTTTCAAGTTATTGTGTTAAAGCACTAAGTTTTAAAGTGCATTTTTACATGGCAATAATGAGCTGCTATGCTCCCTGAAGGCAAGAGCGGTATCTGTCTTGTTCAGTTCTGTGTCCACAGTATCAGCGACAGTGTCTGGAACACGGCAGGGCTCCATAAACGGTGAGGTAATGGACTAAACAGAATCACTGCGGGCTGGGGCTAGATTGGACCCGTTGCCAGACTTCTGTAACTTCCCCTCTGTCCTTCTCGTTCACCCCAGTGACCTACTTCGCGGTCCTGATTTGAACTTCTATTATAATCCTTCAGGAACACCGGGCAGGCCCACAGGCTTGTCCATCCCTCACCGCTTCAATCCCGGCTCCCAGCTGGCTTCTCCCACTTCCCCATGGTTATTTCTCAAGAGCAGCCTGCTGCCCTGAATATTTTGTATTTTCTGGGTCATACTGTGTTTTTGTGCATTCACCACGAGCTATTGGTTCTGCTCTGGAAAGCTAAAAACTGTTTTCTTCTTCTTTTGAAACAGGTTAAGACATTTAAGCCAGAAGGGGTCAAATGCAAAGGTTCACTTTCAGGGGCTGGCGCGGAATCACTGAGGCGCCTCTCACAACCAGAACAGAACAGGGGCTTCGCTTTGCCCAGATACTTGTGAGGTCCAAAGATACGACAGGGCTCTGACGAACAACCCTGCATTAAAGGCCTGGGGGGCGGCACAGGGAGTCAGCTGGGCTGGATGTCCGAGCTCTGGAGCTAAGAAGGCCTGAATTCAATTCCCAGTTTTAACATGTATTTCCTTCTGCTCGTGAATTAAACAGGTGACTTACTGTCCTGAGCTCATTCCCTAATAACACCTGTCGGTACAGACAGATACGCTGGTGGCAACATGATCAGTGACAAGGTGCCCTCTCCCTCTCAGGAGCACCTTGCCTTGTGGGGCTCCTCCCTACGCACCTGTGACGGCTTCGGTCAATAAAACGAGAGTCCAAGACCTATGAGCTTCTTCCAAGTGCTGAGGGACCAGCTAGTCATTCTACACATTTCTGTTTTCTGTGCCATGAAATCCACAATGTCCCAGATAAGGGTCTGTCAGCCTATGTCTAGTGTGATGAGGACAGCAAGAGTCGCGGCTTATTCAAGATGGACTTAGGGTGTGAGAAACAAGCTGATTTTGTTGTTATCCACCAAGTTTTGGGGGATTGTTACTACAGCAGAACATACCAGAAGCTGTCTGGTATGCCTGCATTGTAGCTGCTGGGAGAACTACAGACAGATGTAACCAAGTGATATCGTGAGCCTGGGATATGATAAATTATACTCCTATGTGTGTTCACTCCACACAGGAAAGGCTGGCATTGTTATTTCAGACAAAGCCTCCAGTTATGCTATTATGCCATTGGAGAACTTATTTCTACACCTTTTTCCCCGAGGCAATTTGATATTTTCCTCACTAGGTTCACTGACAAGCTATTTTGCCCCCCACTGACTGGAGGATGATTGCAAATTCTTTAGCCCAGCGATGCCATCCTCATGTAGTCGGGTGAACGGTGCCCTCTGGAGCTGGACTGTGGAGTCCGCACTGCTGCCGAGGACCTGCTCCTTAGCTGGGCAGGTGATAATTTTTGTGAACTGCTAACTTCTTCTATTACATCTGTTAGTACTTCTCCTACCAAAGTACTGAACTATTCATTTCCTGGATGGGCCAGATCCTCTATCATCTTCATGTCTTTATATAAGCTAATCACACCTAGCAGATTTCTACTCATCCTGTAAAGCCAGGTTAAACGTCAACTCTGACAGTTTCCCTCACTGTGTTAGCTGTGCCCTCCTCTATCCCCTGAGAATTTACTTTAAAAGTTGGAATGTCCTACTGTCCTATCTCCATCTGATCTCCCAGCTATGCTGAGCCTCTCAGAGTTGAGGCTGCCTGGTTCACAAAGATTCAGTGCCTGCCAGTGGGGACGGGTGGAACAGTGCCCCAGCAGCGACCATGCTGAGCGGGCCGTGGATTTTCTGTGGCAATGCAGTGAGCCCTCTACCTCTTTGTACCTTATTTCACATTCTAAAAAATCTGGGCTTTAAAGAATGGTCACTAAGGTCACTTCTACTTTCAAAAATCTGACTTGTGGAAAGAATCACAGAAATGATCAAAGAAGGAGCTTCCTAAATCTACTTTTTCATAAAAGCACTGAGGACACTCACAAAGATGGTCCAAATCAACCTTCCCAGAACTCTGGAAATGAACTAAAGTCTTGCAACACTCTGAGCATTTGTTTAAAGAAAAGTTGACTCTCCAGGAAGAGCACAGAGCTCTGTTCTAATGTGGCCTGTTCCTGTCCTTCTGTCCCCAGTGCTGAGGTAACCTTAAAAAGGAACAGTCTGACAGATGGTCGCTGTGAATACCAACACCAAGCCACTGCTGGAGGGAGCAGAATGAGTTTGGAGCACCCCAAAAGCTCCATCTCCAGAAAACTATCATTATTTGACCACTCTGGCAGTTTTCTGAAAAGCTCATTCTCAGGACTTAAGCTCATTCTGTGTGAACCACCCCGTTGGATGCTTGCTGAATAAAAAAATACAATGACAATTATACATGACAGTGACCCTAGGTGGCAATACCACTTGGTGCTAACAAGAGGATTAAAAGCAAAACTGGAGATGATGTATCCATGGGGCTTTCAAAAGCTCTAGCATACTCCTAGGAATCTGGAAGGCTGCGGACATGGAGGCGGAGGGTGTCACCTCTGGCTGACCTTGAAGGAAGCTCAGTCTAAGAGTTTTAACCACACACCAGCGTGTTGAACGTATAACCCAACATACACGCAGAGCCCCCTGGGAAAGGCTGAGAGATTAACCAGTCCAAGGCATTTAAGAAAACTTCTGTCCAAAATTAACTGAATATGATGCCCACAGGGCAGAGACCCCACTGGCTGCCATGATGAAGAATGGATGGTTTGCAGGATGAGTCTGAGTCTCTGAACAAGAAGCAACAACACACATTTCCAGTTTCCACAGATCATTTAAAATGCCAGTTTTTCAGCAAAGATTATGGACCACGAGAGCAGAAAACATAGGCTACGAAGCAGTCGCTAGGATCCCAGACTTAGAATTCCTAGACGAAAGCTTTAAATAAGAATCTTCAAAGAACCTAAAGAAAGCATGTCTGAAGAATTAAAGTATGACAGTGATTTTTCACTGAATATCACAATGAGATGAAAATTATGAAAACAAGCAAATAGGAATTCTAGAGTTGAAATGGGACAGTCAAGAGAGGGGCTCAGCAGTGAGCTGAGGACATGAGCCAAGAGGAGGAATCGGTGAACTTGAGGTTAAGTCGGTATCGCTTACTGTGGAAGAGAATGAGGGGGAGAGAAAAACGGGACGGCTTTGTGGGTCACCAAGAATCGACAGGTGCAGAACTGTAGTAACAGAGGAAAGAAAAGAGAAAGAAAGTGTATTTCAGGACTAGTGCCCAAATCTTAGTAAAAAGCAGTCATCTGCAGATCCCAGCTGAACAAACCACAAGTAGTATAAATTTAAATAGATCCGTGCCTAGATCCACACTTGACTAATGATTTGACAGTCAAGCTGCCAAAAGCTAATGACCAGGAGAGAATCTTGAAAGTTCCATATCCCCTCTAACTTCAGAGAGATGTCGTTATCTAGAACCAAGCTGTGCAACAGAATTTTCTGTGATGACAGTTAAGTTCTTTAACTGCGCTGTCCATTACTGTAGCTACAAGCCCTGTGTGGCTACGGAGCACTTCAATTTGGCCACAGTGTCTCATGGAAGAGTTTTCATTAAAATTTACATTTCAACATCCAGTGTGGCTAGCAGCCACCGTATTGGTCTCAGTAGGTTTAGAACCTGGAATTGCTCTTAGCAAACTAGTCACAAAATAAAGTGATGATAGTTGGGGCAGCACTCACTGTACATTCAGAAAGTTAAGCTACGTTTAGAGAATCACGGGGATCGCCCTAAAGTGAGACAGCACTTCACGCTGGCCTCCACTGCACATCTGGCAACATCAGCCTCGGTAAACAAGTATTTACTAAGCATCCATTAGCAGCAACAGAACTGAACCCTTCCAAATACCGCCCGAGAACATGGAGCACCTGCACCTTCCTAAAGATAAATTTCACGACTCATTTCAACAAACCTGTATGAATTGGGAAGTTAGGATGCTGAAAGAAATACCAAATTAAAACAGCTTTAAAAAAAGCTTTAAAAAGAGAAGCCTGGCTCGGCGCCTGTGGTCCCAGCTACTTGGGAGGCGGAGGCAGGAGACTCGCTTGAGCTCAGGAGTTGGAGGTTGCTGTGAGCTGTGATGCCACAGCACTCTACCCAGGGGGACAGCTTGAGGCTCTGTCTCAAAAAAAAAAAAAAAAAGAGAAGCCTGGGCTGGAAGTCCACAGCTGTTTTGGCTAAATGGTGATTTTAGAGACCCATGCTCCTTGTCTCTTACTGTTTAGTTCTGTCTGAGGGCTGCCGCAGGCACGTGGCATTCCACACAGCAATGGGATAAGGATTAGGGAAGCATGCCCACTCTTTCTGCACAAACACATCACTACTTTTCACATCCCATTGGCCAGAACTTGGTTAAATGACCCCCACCTAGCTATAAGGAAGTCTTGGAAATATAGTTTTGTGGGTTTTTTTTTTTTTTCCTAGATGATAAAGTAATAGGCTAAAAATATGGGCTCCTGCTACTAAAAGCAGAAGGGAAGAATGGGCACTGAGGGGTAAGGAGCAGTGAGACTGCCGTCCTCAGAAACGTCCTGGATTTCATAGTAACATGAGATGTTAACTTTCCAGAAAGACACACCCCATCATTGAATGCATTTTTTCATTCACAAAAAAATTTCAAGGGAAAAACAAAATTAGAAGAATTGATGCAATCCTTTTTTCTTTGCCAATTTATTTTCAGTCCTTTATTTAAAACAGCAAATAAATGTGCATTTGTGCCCATTAAAAATGCATCATAACAGACACAGAAGCAGAAAGTTTATTTACTTGAAACATTTCACAAGTATTATATCGTTACTGGACAATCATTTATTTAAAATAATATCCTAAATACTTACAAAAATAAATCAAGTATTGCTTCTATTTTTCAAGTGTCAAAGTCTTTGCCATAGAAAATAGAAAGGGCCTTTTATAAACTAGACATTACATTTATGGAACATCAAGTTTACATTATTTTCTCTTATAGTTTGTGCTTTACAAATTTGCAAACTACTTCTTTGCAATGTACAAGTTCACAATAAGAATGTATGCGTACAACCATATACACACATTTTTACATAGGAATGCTTCTCATTAAATATACGTACAGAGAACCTAACACAGACAAATACCCTGGCCTAAAAGCTACCCCCTCCGTAGGGACAGATGCGCCCTACACAGAAACAGGTGCAGAGGTGAAAACACTACATTCAAATTAGTGCTCCAGTGATCAAAGATGACATCGTCATGAAGAATACTCAGGGAGATTTTTCTAGACAAGACGTTAATTCTTAATCTCTACTAAATCATTAGTTTGACAGCCTTATTCATTGAAAAATAGAATACACTTCAAATAAATTTCTCAATTCATTAGTTTAATCTCAGGATAGACATCACTGTCATATTTACACAACTTTTATTTTAAAAAGACAAAGGAATATTAACCTTAGAACAAATGCTCACAATTAAAGATCATTTTCAAATTCGTCTGTGGTTTAACTTTATAATCACCAAGTTGCTTAATTCCTTATCAAACAGATGAACTCCAAAAATCTCTTCCCCGGTATATGCCTCACAGATGTATATAAATGATTGTTCATGATGAAATATTTATAATGCCGTACCACCCACAGGGTGTCAACCTCACTACAGTAACCAGATGTGGAAAGAATCTCACTTCTGATCAGTTCCTGATCTGTACGATTCATCACAATAATATAGAATTTTAAATTACATTAGTCTTGTATAAATACTTATAAATCAAACATTTTAAATTCTACTTATCACCTAGAAAAGTGATAAATCAGACAATTTGCTTTTTCTGTATTAAAAAAAACAATCTAGCCTTATTATCCTCATTCAGAAATTGTATTATGTAAAAATTCCAAGTATAATAATTGGAAATTTATGAGCAACTGAACTATGAAAACATTAATTTATTAAAGTTAACATTTTACAATAAATTCCTTTAAAAGAGAGCTTGAAGAGCTCAGAAACTCTCAATTTTAAGTATAGAAACACTAAAGGGGGCGGGTGTCTTCACTAACCAAAATATACCAAAATGCCATCAGATTTAGAAAATTTTGAACAGCATGCTAAAGTATTTTCGAAGACTTATTTCATTTCACTAAAAGTCATAGGCAAGCAGACACTACCAAAACATATGAAAATGCAAATCAACAGTATAATCACATCCCAATCTAAGAGGTAGTCAACAGAAGTAACCCTGATAAAAAACGATATCCTGACTGATGCTCCCTAATCTTAGAGACCCGAATGCAGTATGAAATTTCCATTTTCAGTTATTAAAAAATTACCAGGCAAGAATCTAAAAACCAGGTATGTAAATGAGTAATACTATAAATGGAACAATACTTAGACTGTATTTGCAAAGAAAGGCTGAGAAAATCTAGACCACAGCTACAACCTGCAAGCCACATCTGACCTATCACCTGTGTATGTAAAGAAAGTTTCACTGAACACAACCACACGCATTTTGTTTATACACTGTGTGTCGCTGCTCTCAGCCCACAATGGCAGGGTTGAGGACTTGAACAGACACTGTGCAGCTCACAAAACCTATGGTATTTACTAAAACATCTAGCACCCGTCCCTTCACAGAAAGCTCACTCACCCCTGCCTAGACACTGTAGACATGTGTGCCTTTGCTGACCAGCACGGGAACAATCACCTGTGTTGTCACAGTATAAGGCATCCTCTACACAGAATGGAAGATGTTAATTAGGTCACAATCCAATTTCCTTTTTACACTGGAAACAGTCCTAACATTTTTCTTTCTTTAATTTTTGTAGCCTAATACCAAAGAGTATTTCTAAGTTATAAGATGACTTAGCATGGTGCTCTCCAAAAGAACGTCTTGCAATGCTAGAAATGTTCTCTAGCTGTTTGGTTTGACAGAGGAGCCACAGCCACCTATGGCTACTGAGTGTCTGAAATGTGGCTGGTGCAACCAAGAAACTAAATTTTTAATTTTAATTAATTTCAATTGCCACATCTATCTTGTGGCTACAACATAGAACAACATAGATTTAACACAATGGAAATTCCAAGGTGGTAACTTTTAAAAATGATCCCCAAATTCAAAAGTAATAACCTTTGTAAAGGAGACCTCTTGACAGAAATGAACTGGGTACCACAAACTAAGCCAGAGAAACTCTTCCATCAGTGAATAGAAGTCAAACTGATCCCCAATATTTTTATCATTATATCTCTTTGCAATGAGGAGGTAAAACTATTACATAATACCATATCTTTTTTTTTAGCAGAAGACATCATTTCATGCTCCAAATAACTGAACTCTCATGAATTATATACTAAGGAATACGTAAACCTTAACACAAAACATATTTTTTAGCTTGCTTTCCATCAGAAAGTCACCTCCCACAAATGTCAATTGATTTCCGACTCTCAGCATTTCACCCTCGCTGTCCAGAAGCCCTGGCTTATGGGAAGTATATACGAGAACTGGGACCCCTTCACAATCTGAAAAATCTTCAGTTAGTCACTTTTACTATAGCAATGTCATTCCAATAACAAATATTCCATACCTATCTTCCATGACATAATGAAATATCTGTACACACTCAACAAAGGAGCTGGGGGGTGGAAATGCAGCCTCGCACTTACCCAAAGACATCGCCCATGGATAGTTCACAATGTGCCTACCTCAAGACCATTGTTTATATGAACCAAAAAGAAAATACAACAGATCTAGATATGTTTTAAAATTCATATTACTGATTATATATTGCAAATTAATTAAGTTACTGGTATAACTGAGAATATTAAAATATACAAAGTCAATCTGAAATTATAATACTCTCAAAAGACAAATGTTTGAGATGTCTGTGTAACTATAGCTTCCAATTATTCCAACGTGCTCCCCGAGAGAGACAGCTAGTTCTACACTGTTTTCAAAGTCGGCTGGAAAAATTAATTTGATGCATTCTGATTTTGAAATACCTGGCATCCAGCATCATAAACTTCTTTTTCAATCTGGTAGTTAGTTGAAAAGTATAAAATATTTTAAGGGCACTTCTGTTTATCTTTCCTTTTGCAGTTTAATCAGGTGTTGTAGCAGGAACTCTGACAGAGAGACTTCTTCTGGCGTTGGTGATGTGTCGCTGCTGGGCCAGGAAGGACCGCGCCGGGGCGTACGTGCCTGCGTCTTTGCAAGCACTGCCGCCACTCACGAGCCTGGACTCCATGCCCAGTTTCTGGAACGCGAGACTCTGAACAACGGCAATTACATGTATTTAATACAATTAAATATTTAGTTTGCAAAGTGCTTTTCACATATATAAAGACATTGAATCCTCAAAACAAGCTTACAAATCTGAGGTTTTCCTCATTTATATAGAAGAAAATACACGTCCCGAAGCTGACGAGTCTGTGAAGTGGCAATACTAGTAAGTCGGCACAGAAACCTACTTTCTCTATTTTAAAGTCCTAAATTTGAACTCATTAAAAAATAGCTTAAAATAGTGTGTTAGAATTAGGCTTAATCAGAACAATAGGAAGAAGTTTCAAAGCAAATTCTGTGGGACCATGACTCCACCATCTATGGGCAGACTGAACACAGGAGAATAGCTCGTGGGTCTTGCAATGTAGTCTCTGGATAAACAAGACCAGCATCACTGGGGATTGGCTAGAAATGCAAATTTGGGGGCAGTACCCGACCTACCGAATGAGAATCTCTGCAAGTGGGTCCCGCAATGCGTGTTTTGGTAAGTTTCTGATGCACGCCAATGTTTGAGAACCACCAGTGTAGTTCAAGTTTATTATGGTCTATCTTCATGTTTATATGTGACAAAATACCACAGTTTTGGCTGTTGGGTTTCTTGTAAGCGACGTCATTACTGTTCAAACACACAAAGCAACTTTTCTTTTTTCCTTTCCTCTCTGTCTCTCTCTCTCTCTTTTTTTTTAAAGAGTTAGGGTCTCACTCTGCCACTCAGGTCGGAATAAAGTAGGGTGATTATGGCTCACTCACTGTAACCTCTAACTCCTGGGTTCAAGTAATTCTCTCACTTCAGGGAGCTTAACCACAGCCCTGCTTTACTATGCCTGGCTAAGTTTTAATTTTTTGTAGAGATGGGGTCCTGCTGTCTTGCTATGTTGCTCAGCTGATCTTGAATTCCTGGCCTCAAGGGATCTCCTGCTTTGGCCTCCCAAAGCGCTGAGATGACAAGCGTGAGTTATAGTTTTACTGCATCTAGCATTACTGCTAACTAGTACGGTACCTGGAATACAGGAGATGCTCAACAAATACAGACTGAGACATGAATATCTATTATTTGGCTACAATATCTTCACTGATTTATGCATCGAAAGCCACAGAGAACAAAGAAAATAATACACAGTCCCTGACCTCCACGAGGAAGACCGACTCTGGGAACACCTCACACATAATTAAGGAAAGGGGGGAAAGAGTGGAGATGACAAGCACAGTGCACAGGACACGTCTAAGGAGGCGACTGGCGCTGAGGCCAGCCGCGCACCAGGGGGAAGCTTGTACGGAAAGTCTGTTCCCAGCAAAGTCTGTTCTTTGGTGTATTTTTATCTATCTCCACCTGGATACTAACAGGTAGTGTCAGGCCAGAGATCTGGGGGCAGTAGATAAATGTTCATTTTACTAATGCACTTTAGGTTTTGGTTTGCTCATTCCAGAAATCTCCAGCTTTCCAGAAGGAGCCAGGTGACCAAACCAGCATGTGCCCCAATTCCCTGCAGCTTTGTAGTTTGATGTGTATGTGGGGACAGCCCTAAGGGGATCACCAGCTCCTTCCCTGTGGGCTGCACAGTCAGCTGGCCCTGAAGGGCACAGTCTGGAGAGGCTGCAGTTCTATGCTGCTCACAGGGCTTCCGTGGAAGGGGACTGAGCCACTGAAAGCTCATGACCAGCAGGACAGCATCTTTGGCTCTCCCTGTTCACAGCCTGTCCAGTCTGACACGGCGGCTGCGTGTTCCCAAGGCACCACATCATTCTGCCATCTTATGAAACTGTCCCCAGGCTGACTGTTCCTGGAGTGGCATGCCACCCAGATGGCCCACTTCCATGAAGGATGCTGCCCTCAGATTGAGCTTCGGTCTCCAGCCTCTGGCTGAGAATTTACTAAAGGGACTTCTTCCTGCTAAGCCCCCATTAGCAACTCTCCATAAATTTGGTGATTCTCTGCCTGAGAATTTGAGCTACATTTCTTGAAGCCAAATTCCACCTTTTGTGCTTTTTTGCTTGGGATAAAGGAGTTTTTTCTTTAGAAACAGTGCCAAGAATGACAAGATATTTTAAAAACCTACTTTTAAAGAAATTGCCTAACTGGTTTTTAATACGGTTATCATGAAATTAGTACTTTCTTTTCTAGTTCTTTGCTGTTTAGCTCAGGCTGCACTCTCTAAATCATACTGTGAAGACCAAGGGGGTTTTGATTCAGAAAAATATGAAATCTACATAGTCTTAATTTGTGAAAAGTAAAGAAAATTCCTTAACCTAACAAACAAACAAACAAACAACAACAACAAAAAAAAAAAAAACAGGCAACAATCCTACACACCATGAAATGCTGCTCTTGGAAAATCCCACTGATACTAACGGTGACAAAATAAAACATTTCAAATTACTTGATGCTGCTATATCTGCAGTAGGACAGAGAGACAGTTCCTGTATCCCCTGGGTAAAAACAAAGCAAACGGACAAACCCACACCTACACAGTCAGGGACACGCGGAGAGGCTTCTGAAGGAGGTATTGGATATGGAGCACCAGAAGCATTTAATTTCTCATTACTCAGATGCTCACATTTCTCAAGAAACCCTCTGGGGGATAAATTAAATATTTCTTACAGCTAGAAGGCAGTTTTTAAATATTTATGAATTGTACGCCTATGTCCATGTATGTCAGCTAAAGGCTGATGAGTCACAAAGTCAATTGAAGTCAACTTAGTGGATTAGAAGCAACACTAAAAAAACCCAGAATATAATAGAAACTATCTGGTGTGACACACACAGGGCAACTTTTGCTTCGGTCTTATACGTAAACTTGGTTTATGGTACAGAACGTAATTCCTTCTGTCAGACCTGGTTTAAAGTTTGATAAACACTGTTATGAACATCTAATCTTCAGCTAAATTTCGACTCACCTTATTATACCAAGCAGAAACAATGAGTTTTTCTTCATAATCACGGAATTTTGCTACTTTACATTCACTCTGGAAAAAGATATGTGGACTATTAAAATCCTAGAAATCACCCCCAGCTTACTAAAAACAGAATCATTTCTCATTATTGAGAGAATCTGAAGAATGTTTTTGTGAGGCACATGAAGTAAATAAAATGTAAACTGAATCGAGCAGAAATCAGTGGGACACCTGGAGCGAAGAGTAAGATTTATGACTGACAAGCCTTTATTTCAGGAGCTTTATTCCCAGTGGAGTACAGTGATTTAAACACACATAGAACTAATGATTCTTATGCTGCTGTCTCCCAAATCTAGAGGAAAAGTGAATGACTGGCTTAGGAGTAAGGCAGAACTGCACTTAAGAAGAAATCAAAACCAAGGAGGAAGGGCACACAGTCCAAACTACTCAGGAAAATCTTAAAACCACCTACAAAGCCCAGCACAAACTTCTCTCCCGCATTTCTTGGTGGCCTATATACCAGATTCCCTGCGGCATATTATGTGCCACCACAGAGAATATCCTCCTTTTCTTAATTACTCTAATACAGCTAACTCTGTAATTCTGTCGAGCACCTGATGAGCCAGATGGTTTGGCTCATAGAAACATTCTAATCCTGAAGCACCTGCCTCTCCCCTCAGCAAGGTGCTCACGCCACAAAAACTATAAGCTCATGCCCTTGTTCTGGCTCACAGGACCCAGACACAGGCTCTCCACGAGCAGTGGCAGTCAGAACAGCCTCTCCCGTCTACGTCTCTCCTTTTTGTAGTGTGTGTACCGGGGAATGCCAATCACTTAAATGCCTGTGCACTGGGACTAACTGATGCTTCTCCTCCGAGCCCTACAGTTTTAGAGCCACCATTTTGTCATCATACTTGTTGGGGACACACGTTTCAAACGACAACAATGCTGTACACTTCCACTGTCTTCCTCTGGGCAGTCCGCAGTCAGAGCAACTGAGCCTTCAGACATCAGCGAGGCCACGTCTCACTACTGTACAGATGGAGTCTATTTTACAGACCAGAGATCTGGCCCCTCCAACCAGAGAGGCCAACATTAGGAAGCTAAGCCAATAGAGCTGTAATCCTGGCCTCTGGTTTATATACATTTAACACTGGGACATACAATACAGTCTGACCTCAAGACACCTCAATTTGTGCCAAAAAGAACATCAATGCTGTTGCGGAATGAATTCGTGAATTCAAAGTACATAGACCCATGATGGAGAGATGACACCTTTGGCTAAGGAATGCAGGGGAACTTTTATAGAGAAAGAGGTATTTGAGTTAGATCTTGAAGCACGAATGGCATTTCTTCAGAGGCTATCCCTCCCCAGGGCTCCTGACAACACCGCGGCCAGGACAGCCACCAACAGCAAGCGCACACCGGGGTGGGGTGTGGTCCAGATGCAGGAAGGCAGGAGTTAAAGCCTCTAACTCTTTAAATGAAAACATTTCTTCCACCATTCATATCTACTTGCTCAGAAATAAAACCAGCAAAAAGGTATATGAATAGAGTAGTTTCTCTGAAATATAACATTCCTATTTAATTGAAAAAGAAACTACCATTTATGAGAATTTCAAGGCCAGTACACAGAACTCAACATGGCTCTGCAATTACGCATATGCTACTCAGAGGAAGTACAGACTGACTTTAAGAATACCGCCAAACCTCACTATAGTATCAAAAATAGTAGGAGGGTTTTTTTGTTTGTTTGTTTTTTGAGACAGTCCCACCCTGTTGCCCTGTGTGGAGTGCTGTGGCTTCACAGCTCATTGCAACTTCAAACTCTTGGGCTGAAGAGCTCCTCTTGCCTCAGCCTCCCATGTAGCTGGGACCAGGCGTCCACCACCATGCCTGGCTAGTTTTTCTATTTTTAGGAGAGATGGGGTCTTGCTCTTGCTCACGCTGTCCACCTGCTGTAGCCTCCCAGACTGCTGGGTCAGGCGTGAGCCACTGCACCTGGCCCAAAATCTTTTGTAAAACACTTTGCAAAGGAAACCAGAACATGCTTAATTATAAAATCTAAGAACATATAATCTCATATTGACATATTTACCTGAGCTCTTAAGAATGATATAACCATTCCTTTGATATGCAAACCCAGCTAATTAGAGTATGATGTTACTAATAAAACTTTCCATGATTAATAACCAAGATTATCACTTCAGGGGCTCACTGAGATTCTGGGAGTAATTCCTCCTTTCAGAAACTCAAACCAAGTTTATCTGTTTAGGTGCAGGTAAAGAACAGGATAAGAAAAATGTGGTTAACTGAGTGAACAAACTAACTTTTTTAAAAGGAAAAGCTCAGTTTTTAATTTTTTTCTGAATCAAATCACATTCACACAATTTTTAAAGGAGTATTACATGGTAGGACTTTTTTTAAGAACAATCAGGGGTATTGGCTGGGCATGGTGGCTCATGCCTGTAATCCCAGCACTCTGGGAAGCTGAAGTGCATGCATTGCCTGAGCTCAGGAGTTTGAGACCAGCCTGGGCAAGAGCGAGATCCCTGTCTCTACTAAAAACAGAAAAACGAGCCAGTCATGGTGATGTACACCTGTCGTCTCAGCTACTCAGGAGGATGAGGCAAGAGGATCAATCACTTGAGTCCAAGAGTTTGAGGTTACTATGAGCTATGATGCCAGGATATTCTACCCTGGGTGACAGAGTAAGACTCTGTCCCAAACAAACAAACAAAAATGAAAGTCATGACTGGCTGTTACCAGGGGTAGTTTATGATGCAGCATCAACTACATGGAAACCAACCGATTGAGCTCTGAAATGCTGTGTAACAACACACAAGCACTGGGACATGACATGCTTAAGGTCCTGTGAAATGTGCTCCGTGATGGCAAATCCACAGCAGCAGCTGATCACCAGGAGTCTGTCCAATAACTGAGGGGAGGAGAGCGAATATGCAAGTTTTACCTCCAGAATCTCGATTCTTCTCTCTTTCTCTGCCAACTGCTTTCTCAGTAGCATTATTTCAGCTGATGCTGGATTTAACTTGGGATCTAATGTTTTTATCACCTGTTTAAAGAAAAAAAACTTCATATTCACTTTGCCTTTTTTAAAGAATTGAAAATACAAGAGCATGTTCTATAAAAACTGTGTAAGTAAAGTAGAAAATAATCTACAAAGTGACCCAGGAGCTTGTTTTACAATCTAATTGGATTAAGAAAAAGAAAAAACAACAAAACCTTACTCTATAGGCAAATAATAGTCTAAATATTCAGGACCAAAATGGGGAGATTCACCACTCCAATACTGAAACTCCCTTCTTGAAGGTTCAGTACTTAGAGGTATTTAGCCTTTTCCATGCTCAAGCTTTAAGCATTAAGGTCTTGATATAATAACCCTTTTCTACATTTATCTGACTTTATAATTTTCTTAAAAACCAAAATGAATTACAAAATTATACGGGAACTTGCTGATTTTACAAAGTAAGTGTGCTACACACAAGAGAAATTTTTGGCAATAATCTTTTTTTTTTACTATTATCTAGTTAAATGCAATTTAATATATAGACGGTCAATATATAATATAGACACTGGTGATTTTACCTGCAAAAAATAGGATGATCAATCAAATTTAAATAAATTACTAAAAGCTGAGTTAAATGAGATGTTTCATCAGAATGTAGTGAAGAGAGTCAGCTCAACTACACAGATAACCAAGTCAGGAAATTTAATACGAGCAAAAACTACAAACGTCCAAGAATAGGGACGTCTGTACGAGGTAAATATAAATGTACTAGAAAAAGTTTTTAAGTATTTAATGAGTTAGGAAAATGTTATCTCTATGCATAGAAGTGTAGGAAAAAGACTTGATGGCAATATACCAAACATTACTAGAGTTAATACGTTTGCTGAGAAACAATTTCCCGGATGTTAACTATGAGACCCAGATGGTGGCCAAGGGAGAGTCGGCACTTAGGAGATACTCGGAACCTGCCCTCAAGGGTTATGAGTTCACATCATCAAAGCAGAAAACATTAAAGACTTTAAATCATAATTTAATTAGAAAGAACAAATCAGAACTTATCTTGACATCTCTAAGCAACAAAAAGTCTGGTTCTTAGTTTTTTATATTTTCTGAATTTTCTACAATGGACATATGTTATTTAACTAGTATTTTAACCACTATTTGAACATCTCACACCAAATATGTAAGGGGCAAAATTAGAAACCACATTTTTCAAAGCAAGCAACTGTCTTTTAAGTGATAATCATGATGATAAGAATACGGTACTCACTGTCAGTGGTTTGTTCAACTAGTTATAATCCTTGTAAAATGACACTTAGAAATATGTATAGATAGCATCTTATTAAAATGGTCTTATGACCTAATAATTCCACTTCTAGGAAACAAGTTAAGATAATAAGCCAAAATAAAGGAAAGCTCTCTGTATAAATACCTTGCTTATAGTTTGTTTTTTTTCCCTAGGGGCAAAACAAGAAAAGGAAATGAAAACAAATGATTTCCGGCAGGATCATGACCCAGCTATGCTGTGTTCCACAGGTGAGTACTCCGTAGGCATCCTCTTACCTCTGCAAAGTCTGGGCCCTAAACGCAGAGTCTGTCACTGAGACATTCCCAGGACTTAGCGTAGTTAGGTGTTCAGTAAATATTAAATTGCATTTATATAACCTGAGGAAATCATTTTAAATTTAAAACCACAAATTTTATATGTCTCTATCTGTATATCTGTGCATGCATATGTGCGTGTCATGATCACCAATCAGAGAGAATATATGCATTAAAAAATGCACCATTAAGACACCAAAACGTTATTGTCTCTGGGAACCTAGGTTTGATATTTTCTAGTGTAAACATTTATACTTTTGTAACTGGAAGAAATTTAACAGTAACAAGTTTACCACGCTTATTTATCTCACTTAACTTCCCCAGATCCGGTGTGACCACATGCCTGAGCTCGCCGCTGACCTGGGAGTGCAAGCCAGTTACACCGTTTCCAGGCCTGAAATTACACCGTCCCCTCATCGACTAGTTGGGCAACGTCGCACTGAGCCCCTGTCAGCTCAGGACTCTGACTGACCGCATGAGCATGAGCCCCTTCCCCACTGGTGACTGGACTCCAAGTGACCAAGAAGTCAACTTCTATCCTGTCCAACTCTGCGTCTGATGAACATTACGAAAGTGGCTAACTGTCTAATCTAGACGAAATGCTAAAATAATTTCAAACAAGTTTTAAAAAGCTAAATTTTCATAAAAGGTAAATTGTTCACTTTGCTAAGATGCTAGAAAATTTTTTTCTTAACAAATTCGCTACGATCCTAGCAAGTAAAAATTCCACGCTCATCTTGCTAAAAACGGCCAATGCTACACATTATAGCAGCCGCTTTCTTTAATGGGCTCACTGTGATCGACGTTTAAACTGTCCCTTTGATCTATGTGTTCGTTTTCTTCTGACGCTGATGAGTGAGACTGTGAGGACTGATGTGCAGACACTCCGGGAACCCGACAGGTCAGGTAGGATGGTTGACAGCAAGTGAGCAGATACAGAAACGAGAACAGCAACATAACCCCGTGGAAAGGGCCTCATGAGAACCGGGGCCGCAAAGCTTAAAGCTTTGAAAGACAAGTTACTCACATTCCTGGCTTTCTCCAAGTACATTTTGTATCTTTCCTCCATTGCTTTCATATCTTCATCTTTCTTCTGAAGAGCGGCTTCAAGTTCATTGATCTTTTGCACTATTAATAAAAATAAAATGAAACATGACCAGTTACAATGTATTTCAAATATGCCATCCTCATACAAAAAATTCCATCTATCACATCTATTTTATAAAGACTATTAAGAGAACTTAAAAGAAAGGCCCTTTATTTCTTCTTTGTAGTTAATTCTTATCTAAGACTTTTGAACTACGACCAATACATCCTTAATTATAATTTATCCTTTAAAAAATCTACAGTCTGCTTTAACTGGCTGTTTTTCTCCTTTCTAGTAAGTATTTTAACAAGAAAATATACCTTATGATACAAGCACAACTATAACAAGACAAGATAAAGCCTTTCCACACGATGTTTTAAAGTTCATTTTAATCTGATCTGAAATTTTTATTCACATTTCAACAGTGTAAATTTTATATTTTACAATGTTTGATACTCCTGTATATAACAGATTTATTTGTCTTTGTGTTAAGATTATATCTTTTATTAATGACTTCAGCACTAAAAAATTACCATGCTTCTTAATTACAACATATGCATCCACACATTCTGCAAACACACAGAGCTCTTATGCCCTTCAACTAATCCTTAGATAAACTGACCCACGTTTTTATAAATACCTACCATTTTGATTTACATCTGGCTGAAGATCTTCAATGAGCTCTTGTTTCTTCTGTAATTCTTCATGGACCTCTGTTAGTTTTTCCCTAAGTATTGGAAAGAGCATTGAGCTTGGAGTCAGACCGATCTAAGAGTGAAACGTGGTCTCAGCCACACAACACTTGCAGACACCAGCAAGTTGCTTTCTGACCCTGAAGCCGCTGTCTGTGAAACAGGGGTGCTATCTGCCTGACCTGGGGGTTGTTGTGGGGACAGAAACTGCCTGGCACAAGGTGGATGCCAGAAATGACACATTTCCTCCCTTACCACCCTTGCTTCCTGTGAAAGTAAGACAAAATATTCTATAGGTTTATCATTCCACATAATCTAGTGGTGAGAGTAGCTGTCTGCTTTGACAAACTCTTTAAATATGGGCAACTTATTAAATGTATGCATTTGGTTTGCTTAGTAGGCAGTCTGAATCTGTAAGCATGCTTTTCTTTTTGCTTTTGGTAGCTGTGGTGAACATTCAATTAGCATCCAAGCATTTGCTTTTATTAAAAACATAAGAAAAAGATATTAACATAAGAAGCCTTACAACCCTTCCCCTCTCTTATTTAAAATGAAATATCAGTTTTACTTACAAATGAGCTTCCAACTTCTGCTTTAATTTGCTGGACTATAAAATTAAAAAACATCACTGTAAGACGACTATGTCAATTAAGGTAAATTTTCCAGACATCTAAATCTCTTTACCTCCTTCTGAAGGCGTACTACATAAAATTATAAATCCTTTACTGTATTTCTAATGATTTTAAACGCATAAAATTTTAGATTTTTTCTTCAAAAGGAAAGGAGACTAAGAAATACAAAAGACTACAATAACAAAAAGGAAAAATGCTTCGTATTTCTGAATATAATCAAAATTAAGTTTGAACTTGAAAAATAGCAAATGCCAGCAGTGTGATATATGAAGGAGTATCAAACACTTAGACAGCTAAATAATCGTTTATTCAAAATGCAAACTTTAAGATTTTGAACTTTGAGGAAGAATAGACTTAAAGATCTAATTATTTTTATTGTAAAAATTTCTCTCTACAAATGAAAACACTTCAATAATGACACCAAAATGAAGCAACTGGATTTTGGTAGAAAGCAAAATTTTTAAGATAAAATTTCCTCTCTTAAAAAACAGTATTTTAAATCACAATAGCCATTCTGCATCTGCTGATTAGCTGAAGAATTTAAAATATATAATTTGAAATCTAATTTGAGCACCAATAGATTAAAAGATAAAGAAATGTAAAATCATTAAAATACTGCAATGCAAAATGTACTCCCCCAACAGATCCCAAGTAGAAAGTATTCCCTAACACGGCTTAAATAGTATTTGTATTAGAGAGGTTACAATACCGTATATATGCACATATGAGATGCCGCCATGCATGAGACGAGTTCTATTTTCCAAGCCCCCAGGGGAAAAAAAAGAAAATCACATAAAGCACAGAAAAGACAAAAAGGAAATGCAACCCTTCCAATCTTCCTTTTCATCTCCTTACTTACTCTGTAGAGCAGGGGTCCTCAAACTTTTTAAACAGGGGGCCAGTTCACTGTCTCTCAGACCATTGGAGGGCCGGACCGCGGGCCCCGGGACAAGTCAGCTGCTAAGCAGGACAGGCAGCGGCGGCAAAAACACCCAGCAGGCCAGATAAATGTCCTCGGCGAGCCGCATGTGGCCCGCGGGCCATAGTTTGAGGACACCTGCTGTAGAGTTTTCTCCCACATCAACAGGTATAATGATCTAACATTCAACCAATGTATCTCTCACACACATCTGGCCCTTTTTCTTCTTACAAACGTAAGAATTAAATACACCTCTCTCTCAATCATTACTTCTTCTGTTCATCTAGAGAGATCCAACTACAGAACAGTGGCTCGGTGTATTCACATTTAGGCTAAATTTGATGTCTTTTAAATAATCTCTGTCCTCACAGTATCTGCCACACCCATTAGAAAATGGTGAGGTCATGAGTCAGGATGGAAGGAGGAAGAAATAAGGAGCAAGGCCTCCGAGACTGCATTGAAGTTTCTGCCCTTCAGAGTCTGGTGAGTCACTGGTTGAATGCTCTCCTGGTAGAAATCAGTTTCTCATTCTCCATTTTCCTATGAGAAGGCTTCCTCAACTCTGCTCTGTTTGGACCTTTCTCACGTCTGCCCTATTGAAATTCTAGCAGAGCTGTGCAGGCCTCAATTGGAGCATGCTTGCAATCAAGAATATTGCAAGTACAAGTTGGATCTATCAGGTGTAGAGCATAAATGTCTTAATCTTGTAATTGGGTAAAAGTGGTGAAGGCCATGCTGCTTAGTGGGATGTAAGCATTCCGACTTATATAAATAATCAACATACTGAATCCTATAATGGCATAAATGTATTTATGATCTATGTATGAAGGACTTAATATAAAAAAAAGAATTATCATGAACCGAGGTGTAATTATTGAAATAGGACAGACAGAAATCACCTTACAATATATATGATCAATTTACAGGCTCCAAGTTGGCAAAATCACTGCATCTATTATGCAGATATATACGGTATTTAAGGGTATCCTCAATGGTAAGGGTAACATTTTCAAATACAAGATCAATTTGGGCATCAGGACCTATTAAAAAAACTTCATATAAGCAGAATTTCATAATTTCTAAGTTACTTACACTTTCGCCTTCAGACTTGGAGCCTTGTTCCTGTAAAGATTTCTGGAGATCCTCAACCTGCTGCTGCAATTCTCGGATACGCTCTTTGCTCAACCTGTGGAGAGATAGTCATATGTGTATTTGTACTGAACGTCAAAGTCGTTAAGGATCAGGGAAGGCGCATCCATGTCATCTAACGGAAAAAAATACACATTTGGTAGCAGTGTCAGATGTGGAACAGTGATCTGGTACTGGGTAGTATCGTAAGCTACTTCTAAGGAAATACTTTAAAAAATAAGACTTTCTTCCTGAAAATGTGTTATGTTTACCTTTCAAAATATAAGGCATTTCTTTGTCAATGGCAAAAACATAACATTTCTACAATGTATTCACTGACAGAGAAAGGAGAAAACCAGCTCAGTTTTCTTACAGTTGTATTGTTAATGAACGGAAACCAAGTTTCCACTTTCTGTTTCAGATTTCACACTGTACTAGAAGAAGAGGAAGCCCACCGTTTTCCAACCATTTCTTCACAGCTTTTTATTGAAATTAAAGGGATTGGCACTAGCAACTAGTTCAGAATTTAATTTGGCAAAATCCCATTCTTTAAAGCTGTGCTTGAAAGTTATTTGCACTGGAAGTTACCAGTTAGTGTCTCTCCCGGTCTCTTCCCATCTTTCTCAACTCTCGCTCTCTCCCCCCATCTCTCCCTCTCTCCCCCATCTCTCCCTCTCTCTCCCATCTCTCTTCCCCCCCATCTTTCTCTCTCTCTCCCCCCATCTCTCTCTCTCCCCCCATGTCTCTCTC